GATTGACCTATAAAAATTTCTTTAAAAGTAAGACAAAGATATGATTTGTTAACCTTTGAATTTCAACATATTTTCAATTTATGGTTTTGGGAGATTAAAAGCGACAATTGCTTTTTCTATTCCAAAGAGTTACAAACAAAAATTACAGATTTTTTTAACCAGGGATTGAACTCAGGCCCTTGCACTTGCCAGGGAAGTGCTTATTCCAGTGATCCATCTCCCCCGCCCCACCATCTTCCCAGCCCCCACAGTTTTTTCTTAAAGTGTTTTTCCTGCGTCTTCTCTGTCAGACTTCGCAAATGGATACCTTGCTGACTGCTTTAAATGTTCTCAAAGTTGCCAACAGCCAAAACAAATGCATTGACCATGTCAAGTAACTAAACGTCTGGCATCCAAAAAGGAGAGCCAAAGACCAGAGGTTTCCCCATGAGAGGGTCTTCTCTGCATGTGATTTGCATATCATGGTGCAGAGCGGAAATGGTAGGCTGCAGTGCCAGCGTAAATCAACAAATAGGAGAAAAATCTAATTTTTAGCTAGCAAGTAATCATTTCCTTCTCTCACTACTTCAACAGTCTTGAATTTAGAACACTGTTGTAGATAGAGCATCAGTAAAGTAGTATCTTATGTTAACAATAAGGTCTCTGCAGAGATTTCTAGGCAGAAAAGTGAATTTATTTAGCTTAATGCATTTTTTTTTTCAAAAACTGCATTTGCGTATTATCCTCCCATTACATCTTCTTGACACAGCATGAGGCGGACTCTGCTTATTCATGTTGTCATTCGGAGTATGAACTGCCTCTTTGCAGTTGTGGTTAAATTTGGATTATAACACAACTTCTCTAAAAAATGATTTGGGGAAGTTATTTCTCTCCTGTCCACCAGAATTATGAAAGAGTGATAAATGGAGACTGCTACAACAAAAGACAGTCTAGCAGAGTCCTGAATTGAACTTATCCATTAAAAAGAAAAAGAAGAAGAAAGTGGAGGAGGTGAAGGGAAGGAGGAGGAGAAGACAGCAGAGGGAAGAAGGGGGAAGGAGAGGAGAAGGAGGAAAAAGAGGAAGAGGAGGAGGAGGAAAAAGAGGAAGAGGAGGAGGAGGAGG